GATGAATGACTGAAAGCTTTTCCTCTAAGATCAGGAACAGGGCAAGGATGTTCACTTCATGTCTATTCAACATAATACTGGAGCATTATTCAATTGCTCTAGCTATAGCAATTAGGTGAGAAAGAGAAATAAAAGGCACCCAAATCAAAGGCAGAAGCAAAATTCTCTCTGTTTGCAGATGATATGGCCTTATACGTAAAATACTCTAAAGATTCCACAAAAAACAAAATGTTAGAACTAATAATGAATTCAGCAATATAGCAGGATACAAAGTCAACAAATAAAAATCAGTTGCATTTCTATACATTAACAATAAAAAGTTGGAAAAGGAAAAACAATCTCATTTATAATAGCATCAAAAAGAATAAAATGCTTACAATTATACTAAGCAAGGAAGTGAAAGACTTGTACAATGGAAACTATAAAACATTGCTGAAGGGCAGGCCCCGTAGCCAAGTGGTTAAGTTCCCGCACTCTGCTTCGGTGGTCTGGGGTTTCACCAGTTTGGATCCTGGGCACAGACAAGGCACCACTTGTCAAGCCATGCTGTGGTTGACATCCCACATAGCACAACCAGAGGCACTCACAACTAGAATATACAACTATATACTGGGGAGCATTGGGGGGTAGGAAAAAAAAAGATTGGCAACAGTTGTTAGCTCAGGTGCCAATCTTTTTTAAAAAAAAAAAACATTGCTGAAAAAGATTAAAGACACAAATAAATAGAAAGCCATCCCATGTTCATGGATTAGAAGATTTAATATTGTTAAGATGTCAATACTACCCAAAGTGATCCATAGATTCAACAAAAGCCCTATTCTTTTGCAGAAATAGAGAAACTCGTCCTGAAATTTATATGGAATCTGAAGGGACCTCAAATAGCCAAAACAATCTTGAAAAAGAACAAAGCTGGAGTACTCACACTTCCTGATTTCAAAGCATATTGCAAAGCTACAGGAATCAAAATAATGTGGTATTGGCATAACAACAGACATACAGAACAATGGAATAGAATAGAGAACCCAGAAATAAATCCTCACATATATGGCCAGATGATTTTTGACCGAGGTGCCAAGATCCTTCAATAGGGAAAGTACAGTCTTTTCAACAAATGGTGCCGGGAAAACTGATGGCCACATGCAAAAGAACAGAGTTGGACCCTTTATCTAACACCATATACAAATATTAACTCAACATGGACCAAAGCCTTAAATATAAGTTGTGAAACTATAAAATTCTTAGAAGAAAACATAGGGCAAAATCTTCTCAACACTGGATTTGGCAACCATTTCTTGGACATGACATCTAAGGCACAGGCAACAAAAGAAAGAATAGACAAATAGGTCTTTACGAAAATGTTAAAATTTTGTGACCTAAAGACACTATCAACAAAGTGAAAAAGGCAGCCCATAAAATGACAGAAAGTATTTGCAAATCATACATATGGTAGGGGATTTAATATCTAGCGTGTATAGGGCACTCCTAAAACTCAACAAAAACAAAACAACCCAACTTTAAAAATGGGCAAAGGACATGAATAGACATTTCTCCAAAGAAGATATGCAAATGACTGATAAGCACATGAAAAGATGCTCGATTCCATTAGAGAAATGCAAATCAAAGCTACAAAGAGACAGTCTCACACACATCAGGATGGCTACTATCTAAAAAAATGAAAAATAACAAATGCTGGCAAAGATGTAGAGAAATTAGAACTCTTGTGCTTTGTTGGTGGGAATGTAAAATGGTAAACAGCTGTGGAAAACAGTATGGCAGCTCCTCAAACTTAAAAATAGAATTACCACATGATCTAGCAATTCCATTTCTGGGTGCATACCCAATAGAATTGAAAGCGGAGCCTTGAAGAGAGATTCGTACAACCATGTTCATAGAAGCATTACTCACAATAGGTAAATCACGGAAGCAACGTAATGTCCACTGACATAAACAGATAAGCAAAATGTGGTGCATACATGCGATGGAATGTTATTCAACCTTAAAAGGAAGGAAATTTTGACATATGGCATAACATGGACGACCCTTGAGGATGTTATGCTAAGTGAAATAAGCTGTCACAAAAAGACGAAAACCGTATGGCTCGACTTATATGAGGTACTTAGATTATTCAAAATCAAAGAGAAGGTAAAATTGTGGTTGCTAGCGGCTGAGGGACATGGGGGTTATTGCTTAACGGGCATAGAGATTCTGTTCCACAAGATGAAAAGAGTTATGGAGATGGATGGTGGTGATGGTTGCATAACATTATGAACATATTTAATACTATGGAACTGTGCATTTAAAGATAGTTAAGATGGTAAATTTTATGTTACATATATTTTACCACAATAAAAAAATTTTTTAAAGGAGGGCTATAAGAACCTCTCTGATAAGTAGAGATAAAGAAGAAAAGTGAATGATAAAAAATGGATAAATAACCAAGAATAAACATAAAAGAGAAGAGTGTCAAGAAAACTTAACAAAAGAGCTATGAGGGCAAACTGGAATGTTATTCACTAGGAAAGCACTCAGAGAGCAGAATTACTTAATACCTGTTCTGCTTCTGTCTCTCCTGTCAAGGAGAATGACCATCATTTTGAAAGCAAGTAACAAATATTGATAGGAAAGAAGTGAATCACACAATAAGAAAGCATATGATGAGAGAGGGTCTAAGCACTTTATTTGAACTCAATCCTTTTGCACTCTGGAAATTATATCCTAGGATTTCAACTCCCACTCCTCATCAAAAAAAAAATCACAGATGATATTGCTAAACATTTGTCAGTGGCTTTTAAGGAAGTGGAAAAGATAACAGTTGAAATCTCATGGTTCCGAAACTGCATAGAAAGGTACCATGAAACATTCTAATTTTCAAGGAAAACACATTCTTGACATTTGTCAGACACAGAAAAATACTAGCCCGAGGTAGTTCACAGTTTCAACAATAGATAGCACTACGTTCCTTTCAATAGCACTGCATCTTCGTGAAGCTGGTTGTTCCGGCTGTTGCCAGGATAAAAAGCAAGTACCACATGAAAATTAAGGTAGAACAGGAAAGAAAGCCGGTCTCCCTTCCTCAGCCCAGTTATCACTTTCTTGCCCCCTTCGTTCACTCTCTTCTATTATCACTGTGCCCGTCACTCTTGCTGACTATGTTTTAAGGCCCTTTGAAGGCAGGAATCCTGTCTAAATTTTTTTTAATGAATTACGTTCGCTGCTACCGAGCTTCTAACTTTGCATCATGTTTTATAAATTGTGTTCAACACAAACCAAAACAGCAACAACCACCATAAATAATTGAAGGAATGTGTTCAGCACTAAGGATCACAATTTTAAAGAAACAAAAAAGCAAAAGGAATATGTCCAGGGAAGAATAATTAGGAACATGAAAGTTTTTTAAATTACTAAAAGTTGGAAGCATTTGGAAAGACCAAGAATGTTTAGCACAGAGAAGAAAAGACTTAATGTACAAGTAAATGTCTACCGTTACTAAGAAATGTAGGCTAGGTTTCTGGTGACCAGACTATCCAGTTTTGCCTGAGGTATAATTTCTAGACTGTGTCTCTAGTACAAGAACAGGTAGCGAAAAGCAGAGCAGATGCCAACATTTTCACACAAAATTACTGGCAGAACCAATCAAAAAATGCTAAGATTCCATATGTGGTATATAAACCTGTCACATTTCTAAGTGATGAACTACATTGACATCCAAAGAAATATGCTGGATTTTCTGTTGCACGCAAATCAATTAATTATATAGCTAATCAATGAATAACAAATATTAATTCAATGCTCAAGGAAGACTAGATTTATGTTTATATTTATACACAAAGGCAATTAGGATAGTCCTTTTCCAGGAGTGGCACAAATACCTACAGTTTGACTTATACTAAAATCCAGAGGGACTGATGAAACACAGGATACTGTAGAGAAACTACAGAGGTACAATCTCTAAATATGCGTTGTTAATCATTAACTACAGCCTGACTTCCACTACCTCAAAATCTAGTACAGTTACTGTGGAGTCCAATATTCCATTATTTATCTCTCTCTCCCTTAAACAAAGATAGCACAGCTCCAGGCTTGCTTATTTATGAGGATTTGTCCTGACTTGTGGTATGTCCCAACATTGTGACTCATGCTAGTCTCAGGACAGCCAAGGAGGATGTGCATGGTACAATATGTTGTAGAGGGCTCCTCTCCACATGTTCTCAGCAGGCTTTCTTGGGAATTCTGGAAAGGTAAGGGTATCTGATCTTCAAGTAAATATAAAGAAGTAGTCGATATATTATGAAATTGTAAGACTGCAAGTGACCTTGAGAAATCAATTCAAGGCACCGGAGAATGGTGTTGAGAAGTCAAAAGATACTCAGATACAATCTTCAGTTTCCAGGAGTTAAAACTAGAAGTGTGAGAGATGTTTCTTTAAACAACTAATGCAACTTAAAGTAGAAAGGCATATCAAATATAGGAGTAAGTAATATACTGTGATCAATAATGAGAATAATTGCTACAATATCAATAAACAACTAATAGCATAGTGTCCATGACATTTGGGGGATGGAAGGACATAAAACTCATAATGAAGAAGTATAAATCTTCCATTTGTTATAAAAAATTGCCTGGAAATGTTCTTGTGTGGTGGAGTGACTAATCATTTTGGTTTAATCAGTACCGTCATGATTTTGGCTGAAAGTCCTGTGTCCGTGGAAAACCCTTAGTCTGGGGAAAACCAGGACATTGTCACCTCACTAGTGATACCATTCCAACAAACTATTGTAACTTCCCCACCACTAACATAATCATATCACCATTTTAGTGATGTAATCAAGGAAAAATAACACAAATTTCATTTATTGTATTGTTTTTTCAGGTTTCACCTAAGTTTTCCACATTGTACCTAAGCCTTTCTGATGAGTTCTCCATGGAGAGAGAAAAGAACAAGACACTCTTCCCTGTGTGATGTCACTTCACATACCAGCACTGGGCCAGAGTTCACTTACTTTTGCTGCAGCCCAATAGATTGTTGACATCCAAATGGCTTGCACTTGGAACACAAGAGTCACACTTTGAGCCAGTGACAAATCGTTTACAGAAACACTGGCCCGTGACCAAGTGACAGGTTTCATTCAAGGCTCCTGAGAGATGACAATTGCAAGGCTGACATCTGAAAACAAGACAAATAAACCATCAAAGAATATAATGTTTTGATTAATAATTCATAGTATAAGTTACAAGTATTGATAACATTGTTTTAGCCAATGTAGTGAAAAAGATTCTTGAGCAAACATGAAATAAAACAAAAAAACTATCAAAATGCTGCTCATGATAAAACCTCTATGAAGCCTTCTCTTTGTAAACTAACTAATGGCAAAAACAAAAGTGTTATATTACTTTTTTACATGCATGATACATCTAATGGATTATTTTATTTACAAATTGTTCAATTAAGAATATTGTAAATTTTGCTTTTTTGGAAAAGCAGTTCTCCTGACAGCTAAATATTTTCTTTTTTTGCAGTAACATTGGTTTATAACATTACATAAATTTCAGGTGTACATCATGATATTTCGATGCCTGTGTAGACTACGTTCACCACCCAAAAAAAGACTAATTACCATCCACCACCACACACATGCGCCTAATCACGCCTTTTGCCCTCTTTCCTCTCCCCTTCCTCTCTGGTAACCAGCAATCCAGTCTGTCGTCATGTGTTTGTTTGTTGTTTTTATCTTCTATTTATGAGCGAGATCATACAGTATTTGACTTTCTCCCTCTGACTTATTTTGCTTAGCATAATACCCTCAAGGTCCATCCATGTTGTCACAAATAGCCGGATTTCATCGTTTTATGGCTGGGTAGTATTCCATTGTGTATATATACCACATCTGCTTTATCCATTCATCCCTTGATGGGCACTTGGGTTGCTTCCAAGTCTTGACTATTGTGAATAATGCTGCAATGATCATAGGGGTGCATGTATCTTTATACACTCCTGTTTTCCTCTTCTTTGGATAAATATCCAGCAGTGGAATAGCTGAATCATATGGTAGATCTATTCTTAATTTTTTGAGGAATCTCAATACTGTTTTCCATAGTGGCTGCACCAGTTTGCACTTCCACCAGCAGTATACAAGGGTTCCCCTTTCTCCACATCCTCTCCAACACTTGTTATTTCCTGTCTTGTTAATTATGGTCATTCTAACAGGAATGAGGTGACATCTTATTGTAGTTTTGATTTCCCTGATGGTTAATGATGTTGAACATCTTTTCATGTGCCTGTTGGCCATCTGAATATCTTCTTTGGGAAAATGTCTGTTCAGATTTTTTGGCCATTTTTTAATTGGGTTGTTCATTTTTTTCTTGTTAAGATGTATGAGTTCTTTATATATTTTGGATATTAACACCTTATCAGACATACGGTTTGCAAATATCTTCTCCAAATTGTTAGGGTGTCTTTTCATTTTGTTGATGGTTTCCTTTGCTGTGAAGAAGCTTTTTAGTTTGATGTAGTGCAATTTATTTATTTTTTCTATTATTTCCCTTGCCTGCTAAGACGTGGTACTTGAAAATATGCTGCTCAGACTGATGTCGAAGAACGTACTGCTTGTGTTTTCTTCTAGAAGTTCCATGGTTTCAGGTCTTATATTCAAGTCTTTAATGCATTTTGAGTTAATTTTTGTGCATGGTGTTAGATAATGGTCTACTTTCATTCTTTTGCATGTGGTTGCCCAGTTTTCCCAACACCATTTGTTGAAGACACTTTCCTTTCTCCATTGAATGTTCTTGGCTTCCTTGTCAAAAATTAGCTGTCCAAAAATGTGTGGGTTTATTTCTGGATTGTTGATTCTGTTCCATTGAACTGTGTGTTTGTTTTTCTGCCAGTACCATGCTGTTTTCATTACTATAGTTTTGTAGTGTATTTTGAAATCAGGGAGTGTGACACCACCAGCTTTGTTATTTCTTCTCAGGATTCCTTTAGCTATTTGGTTCTTTTGTTGTTCCATATAAATTTTAGGATTCTTTGTTCTATTTCTGTGAAAAATGTTGTTGGAACTTTGATAAGGATTGCATTGAATCTGTAGATTGCTTTAGGAAGTACAGACATTTTAACTATGTTAATTCTTCCAATCCAAGAGCACGGAATATCTTTCCATTTCTTTGAGTCTTCTTCAATTTCTTTCAACAATGTCTTATAGTTTTCAGTGTATAGATCTTTCACCTCTTTGGTTAGGTATATTCCTAGGTATTCTATTCTTTTTGTTGCAATTGTAAATGGGATTGTATTCTTAATTTCTCTTTCTGCTACTTCATTGTTAGTGTATAGAAACACAAGTGATTTTTGTATATTGATTTTGTATCCTGCAAGTTTACTGTATTCATTTATTATTTATAAAAGTTTTTTGGTGGATTCTTTAGGGTTTTCTATATATAAAATCATGTCATCTGCAAATAGTGACAGTTTCACTTCTTTCTTTCCAATTTGGATCCCTTTTATTTCTTTTTCTTGCCTGATTGCTCTGGCTAGGACTTCTAATGCTGGTTAAATAAGAGCGGTGACAGTGAGCATCCTTGTGTGGTTCCTGTTCTTAGAGGGATAGCTTTCAGTTTTTCTCCATTGAGAATGATATTAGCTGTGGGTTTGTCATATATGGTATTTATTATGTTGAGTTACTTTCCTTCTATACCTATTTTATTCAGAGTTTTTATCATAAATGTGTGCTGTATCTTGTCAAATGCTTTCTCTGCATTTATTGAGATGATCATGTGATATTTATTCTTCATTTTGTTAATGTGGCATATCACATTGATTAATTTGTAGATGTTGAACCATGTCTGCGTCCCTGGAATAAATCCCACTTGATCATAGTGTATAATCTTTTTAATGTATTGTTGTATTCAATTTGCTAGTATTTTGTTGAGGATTTTTATATCGATGTTCATCAGTGATATTGGTCTGTAATTTTCTTTTTTGTGTTGTCCTTGTTTGGTTTTGATATCAGGGTAATGTTGGCTTCATAGAAGGAGATTGGAAGCTTCCTCTCCTCTTCAATTTTTTGGAAGAGTTTGAGAAGGACATTCTTCGAATGTTTGGTAGAATTCACCAGGGAAGCCATCTGGTCCTGGACTTTTATTTTTTAGGAGGCTTTTGACTAATGTTTGACCTCCTTGGCAATTGTTCTATTCAAATTCTCTATTCTTGATTGAGTTTTGGAAGGTTGTATGATTCTATGAATTTATCCATTTCTTCTAGATTATCCAATTTGTTGGTGTATAGCTTTTCATAGTATTCTCTTATACTCTTTTGTATTTCTGAGGTGTCCATTGTAATTTATCCTCTTTCATTTCTGATTTTATTTATTTGAATTTTCTCTCTTTTTTTCTTGTGAGTGTAGCTAAAGGTTTGTCACCTTTGTTTATATTTTCAAAGAACCAGCTCTTGGTTTCATTGATTTTTTTTCTATTGTCTTTTTAGTCTCTATTCCATTTACTTCTGCTCTGATTTTTATTATTTGCTTCCTTCTACTGATTTTGGGCCTTGTTTTATCTTATTTTTCCAGTTCCTTTAGGTGCACTGTTAGATTGTTTACTTGAGATTTTTCCTGTTTCTTAATGTAGTACTTGTACTGCTATAAACTTCCCTCTTAGAATCACTTTTGCTGTATCCCATAAATTTTGGCATGTCATATTTTCATTTTCATTTATCTCCAGGTATTTGTGTGTGTGTGTATGAGGAAGATTCATGCTGAGCTAACATCTGTTGCCAATCTCTTTGTTGCTTAAGGAAGATTGTAACTGAGCTGACATCTGTACCAATCTTCCTTCACTTTATGTGGGATGCTGCCACAGCATGGCTTGATGAGTGGTGCTAAGTCTGCACCTGGGATACAAAACTGCAAACTCTGGACCACTGAAGCAGAGCGTGCAAACTTAGCCACTATGCCACTGGGCCGGCCCCAGTCTCTAGGTATTTTTTTATTTCTCCTTTGATTTATTCATTGACCCAATCATTGTTCAGTAGCATTCTGTTTAATCTCCACATATTTGTGGCTTTTCTGGTCTTCTTCTCGCAGTTGATTTCTAGTTTCATACCTTTGTGGTCAGAAAAGATGCTTGGTATTATTTCAATCTTCTTAAATTTATTGAGACTTGTTTTATGGCCTAATATGTGATCAATCCTGGAGAATTTTCCATGCGCATTTGAAAAGAATGCCTCTTCTGTGGTTTTTGGATGGAATGTTCTGTATATATCTTCTAGGTCTATCTGGCCTAATAGGTCGTTTGAGGCCAATGTCTCCTTATTGATCTTCTGTTTGGATGATCTATCCATTGATGTAAGTGGAGTGTTAAAGTCTCCTGCTATTATTGTGTTACTTGACAGCTAAATATTAAGATTAGGTACCCATAAAATTATCTTTTCAAGTATCTATGAAGTTGTAAAATAGAAAATTGGATATGATCATCATTGCTGTCCCTAAAAATCTTGAAATTCTATATTTAGTTTTATAAAGACTAAATTTCACTAAGAAAACAGTTTGAGGAAGACATGTTCAAATACTGTCAATACCTTAATATAGGCTATATTCCATTTTTTATTTCATGCACTAACCTAATTTAATCAGAATGGTTGAAAAATAGAGTATTATTCTGATCTCTGAAAAGATGCTAATAATATAAACATAATGAGAGAATTTCATGTCAACTTAAATTTCTTGGACACAAGTTGGTTGTGAAAATCACTGTCCTGGCATTTTGTCATGATAGAAACCCAAATCTGTTTCCTCAGAGTGAATTATTCAAAGACTTAGTCTATGCCAATGTCACTGATTAAGATAAGCAATTTTGGCACCATGAAGCAAAAACAGCACATGTAAGATGACCACTCACATTTAAACAGAGACTTTCCATATGGCACATTTAAAATAACATTATGGATCCACCTATATTTCCTAATAAAGATGTCGGATGGGTAGAGTTACTTTATCCCACTGCAGCTTTTATGGTGTGATCTCTTGGGTAATCATTCAACACCCTTAAAAAGGCCGATAAAAGCTAAAGCTGCTAAATAAGCTGCAAATTTGTTTTATGGACTAATATCACCTTGGGAATAAATAAAGTACAGTTTCTCTTGAAAACCACTATACCATAGTTTACCCTTTTTATGTC